TCTGAAAGTGATTGACTTGGTCCATAATACAGCTCTCAGACTATCTCTCGGAGTATATAGAACAACGCCTACCAAAAGTCTGCACTGTGAAGCTGGTGAACCACCTCTGCAATTGCGAAGGCAGTACTTGAGCCTAGGATATGCAGCAACAGTCTCCTCTGAAAGCCACCATCCAGCATATCATAATATACAGGGTGTCCCAACGAAAACTTTCCACACGGATTTACTGGGAAATGACAAATTATTTTCGGAAACGCTGAAACACATCGATTTTGATTTCTAGGGGGACACATGTCAGTGATGAATTTAGTCACGCAACTTCATCCCCCTGACAGGGGCGGCTACCCCATTGCGAATCATCATAGGGAACTTGGGTCGAGTGATACTTCATCTTCAAGCTCTCGTCATTCTCTATCCAAACGTTTATATTTTTTCAAAATCGAATGACTGGTAATTGAGATTAGTGTGGTAATAGGTTTAATTTCAATAATCAATATCGTACCTGTTCTTATCGAAATTCAATTTATTAATTGCTCGAAATGAGCCCCTCCTACCTCCATACAATGATAAAGTCTACTTTCGAAACTATTACGAAAGTTTGCCAATACTTCTGGAGTTATTCTGCCGCACTCGTTTACAATTCGACCACGTAGTTCCTCTAGTGACTCTGGCGGAGTGGCAAAAACTTTGCTTTTGAGATGCCCTCATAAAAAATAATCCAACGGGTTGAGGTCCGGTGATCTAGCTGGCCACTCAATTGGTCCTCGTCGCCCTATCCAATGATTGGTATATCGTTCATCCAGGAAGTTTCTAACCGCCACTGCATAGTGAGGTGGTGCTCCATCTTGTTGAAAATGGAGGTTGTCTTCCGAATAATCTCCATCGTTTTCGATAATATCCGTTATCATGGGATCGATGGCATTCTCAAGAAGATGTAAATACATTTGTCCATTCAAATTATCATCTATAAAAAGTGGTCCAATAATATTTTTGTCAAAAATACCACACCAAACATTCAACTTCTGCGGAGTTTGTGTGTGGACCTCACGTATTAACCTGGGATTGGTATCGCTCCAGTAGCGGCAATTGTGACGATTCACGTTTCCATTAACAAAAAATGTACTCTCGTCTGAAAAACAAATATTGAAGAGCAAATTGGGATTTGTTCTCAGACGCTCAGACATTTCCTCACAAAACTGTTGACGTCTGTCAAAATCGTCTTCGTTCAGTTCATGTACAAGTTTTAGTTTGTATGGATGGAATCGATGTGACTTGAGAATTCTCTGAATACTCGATCGCGCTACACCTGACGCGTCAGCCAAGCTTCTAATACTTTGAGTAGGATCCATAGCCACGTGCCCCAAAACCGCTATCTCAACAGCCTCGTTCCTTATCAGACGTTCAGGATGATGTTTCTGGTTTCCCACAGGCCCAGTTCTTTCGAATTTCTCAATCAACGTTTGAACATAGGTATGAGATGCATTTTTCCCTGGATGCCTTGTATTGAAAATTCTAGCTGCAGCTCTTAGACAATCATCATTTTTGTAGTAAAGTTTCACTAACTCAATTCGTTCTTCTAATGCGTAAACCATTGTCAGGCAGAAACTTAACTCACAGAATACGAATCAAATGATATTTCCAGAAGAATCATGCGAACTGTGAATTCATGCTGAGAACATACACGCAGGAGAACCATAAAAAACAGGTATTTTTTGTCTATGAAAAAGTCAACAGAACAAAAACTAAGAAATATGGTTTCCGGGCTTCAGTGCCGTGGTCGGTTCACCTCTGTGGAGGAGGTTCCTTTGGACGATTCGCTCACAATTGGGGTGGGCATCTTCCGCTTGTGATGTTGTATTCGCGAATAGCGACATAAAACTGATACTTGGTTGAAAGATCTTCGCAATTAATAGTCCCAACCTGGCTACTTACTTTGTTTTGACTAATTTGTTTTCGTTTTTCGTGGGGTGACTGGATTACCTGACCGGATGGGATGTTGCTATTGTCTATCTGTCCACTCATTGAGTCTTAAAAAAGTTAATAAATTTGATTTGAATAGGAACAGGTAAGATATTGACTATTTACATTGAACCTGTCAACAACACTAATTTCAATCACCATTCATTCTATTTTGGAAAAATTATGGACGTTTGGATAGAGAATGACGAGAGCTTGAAGATGATGTATCACTCGACCCAAGTTCCCTATGATGATTCGCAATGGGGTAGCCGCCCCTGTCAGGGGGATGAAGTTGCGTGACTAAATTCATCACTGACATGTGTCCCCCTAGAAATCAAAATCGACGTGTTTCAGCGTTTCCGAAAATAATTTGTCATTTCCCAGTAAATCCGGGTGGAAAGTTTTCGTTGGGACACCCTGTATTTTCCAACCGTTTCCAAAACCTTTACGAAACCCGCAAGAGGATAAACAACTACATCGCCCAACTTAACTCTAACCTTCCAATGACACTTCCTATCCACAGTACCAATATGCCACCTTGGCTCGTCCCATTGTCACCCTGCAACCTATATCTTACCACCTTCAATAAGTCCGAAACAAATCATAGTTTGCTTCGCACTTATTTCTACTCATTGCTTGAAGAATACCAAGATTACAAACACATTTACACAGATGCATCCAAATCGAACGAAGGAGTAACATCTGCATTCTGGAGTCTAGATACATCAAGAGGCTTCAAGTTATCCCCAGTATGCAGCATCTACAGTGGGGAACTATTCGCAATTCTGCAAGCAATCAAGTTTGTTGTTGATGAAGGAATACAGAAAACATTGATCCTAACAGACTCGCTGAGTTCACTTCAAGGCATGCAACAAATATATTCTGACAATCCCTTGATCAAGACCATCAAGAACCACATTGATTCAATCAGCTCTACCTCTGGAGAGCTAAAATTCATGTGGGTTCCCTCACATGTCGGCATCCCTGGTAATGAACGAGTTGACCAAATTGCGAACGAAACAATGAATAAACCAACTATATCCGAGCAGGAAGGAGTACCACATAAAGACCTCAGACTACATATCAAATCCATCATTCACCACTACTGGTCATCTGAGTGGAGAAACGCGGGAACAAAACTGAATGAAATCAGAGATGACAACAATCCATGGAAGAGAACATACCATCAACGGAAACAACAGGTGATACTCACTCGCCTGCGTACTGGACATACAAGGTACACACATGAACACTTAATGACGGGAGGTGAAGTGAAAGTTTGTTATAGTTGTATGGTACCAATGTCAGTTAAACACTTTTTAGTGGAGTGTCCCATGTTTTTCGAAGAACGTCGGAAACATGACATTTCTATGGATTTGAGAACAGTTCTTGGCGACGGCTGTAATATTGTGAATATTTTTGGTTTCCTCTCTGACATTGGTCTACTTAACAAACTATGATAACTCAATCAAAATGAAATTATTATTGTCTGTAATATAATCACTAAAATACCATTGTTATGTTGCTATATGTTGCTAATAACCCTTAGTGGTTGATGCAACAATTTATCTTCTAATAAAAAAAAAGAGGAAGTATCGATATTTTTATCGCAGAGAGAATGCAAATACTCAATGTATTTAACAAATTTAAGAACAACAACAACAATGTACCTTTACAGAGAAGTGCACCAAAAACGGCCAGGACTGTAACTTCTGAATTATTCGGGATAGGGTATTGAAAATTGATGGCTAACAAGTATACCAAATTGCTCAATAATTATTGATAAAACCATTTTTCTTCTATCACTTCCAGTTTCACTGGAAACGACCAGAACTTTTGATTTTTGAATGGGACAACCTGTATTTTATTCCATAATTGGTTAAGGATTATCATGACGAATTCAACAATACCAGGTCCGATAGTGTAATTTCAAACAATCACAAAGATGTTTGCGTTCGAAGTTTTCATATAATCAATGGGTGTGACTTCGGAATATCAAAACTACTTTCTCTATCACACTCATTGAACATATAGAAACTTAGAACGCGACCTAATAACCTGCCTAATCGTTTGAAATAACTCAAACCCAGTATCTATGAATTCGTTATGACAATCCCTAACCGATTATGGAATACAATACAGGGTGTCCCATTTGGAAATCAAAAGTTGGGGTCCCTTTCAGCGTTGATTGATATATTACGCTTAGTAATATATCAATCAACGCTTTCAGTTAAACCCAAAAGTTGTTTCGTCAATTCGTGATTAATCGATCATTTAGCGTGGTACATATTCGTACGCAAAATCCTTATGTGAGTAGAAGACATTTATTAACCACAGCTCGCCAGCCCTTAACAATCTCAAAAACCGTTTCTTGTCTATTCCATATTTAGGTGAGGTCTCCCATGACATTGCCAACATATTCACAGATTCATTAATGAAATTAATATTTATTTATATTTATATTTGATATACAAACACTATTGAACGTTGATGCAAAACGTTGATACTTTCAAGCAATTATTGTTCATAATTTCAACATTTGAAATTCACATATTCATGACTTTGGGTGTACTCAATACGTCTTTCGATCGTGATATGAAAATGTTGAAGATAGTTAAAAATTTACTCATTCTAAAACGTCTATCACGTTGAAAATAATTGATTGATATTAAATGAGTAGTTGAAATTATGTTTGTGTACTTGTTGAGAACAACGTGTATGTCAGCAAAGTTTTTGCGTTATTCCAACCAAACTTTGTGATAATTTTACTATACGTTATCTCGAAGCACCTATTATAATAAACACGTATTTATTGTGTACTGTTCTGTCCGTATCAATGAAATTGAACTTCATCATGTTGGCCTTGAGTTACTTATACAAAGGTATTCATTAAAAAAGCATTATGATTCTGATATTTATGATATAATAGAGATATAGGGGAATTGATTCACTCGGGCTGATTTAGATAACGAACTAGGTAAGTATTTTTGAGTCTATATAAAATAAAGTACTGCCTGATATAGTGTTGTGACCAAACGAACGTTCTGTTCTGTGCACTTGTTTATACCTACCTACTTGGAGAATATAATACAGGTAAAAACTCTTTTTTTTATCACACGCAAGGAAATCCCTATAATGTACAAAGAGCATCGTGCGTTCCTAAGGAGGATAGGGGGATTGGGAATACTTCCTCAGGCAATGAATTCCAGAGCCTGAACAATTGCACCATAAAAGAAACATCGTGAAAATATGATTTTCCGTCGACCTCGAATTGAACGACTATATGATTAAGATTAATGGAATTGATCGTTAATGACTCCTATCAATGATTGTATAGGCAACCGCGTCCTTCCACTTTTGGCACTATAACTTACGATATATGATGCATTTGAATCGAAAATATTGATTACATCGAAGATTTTACGTTAACGGTTGATTAGTCTCTTCATCAACGTTTCTGAAATTATTTTAATTTATGTTTTCTGACAAAAAAAAAATTATTTCGACCAGCGGCAGATCTACCAGTACGCTTAGTATGCTTAAGCTGAGGGCCCCGACCCATGCAGGGGCCCCGCATCATTATTTTCCAATATCATTTGTTTGCACAAATGAAATAATAACAAAAATGAATTTTTGCTTTCCACAGTACTTATATTACATAGCGACAGCGGCAACATTCATCATTGTCTGTACCTTGCTCCTGTTTTTCGTGTCTCTTGTATTTTGCGTCTCGCACTGTTTTCCTTTCGTCTGTTCATAGTTCGGTCTTCCCAATCAGCACCAGACATCTTAAAGACGTACATTTTACGACTTACTTACGTCTTCACGTCCAGGGACGTATAAAGTACGTCTTTAAACTGTAAATACATGTACATCTTAAAGACGTACACGAATTTACGTCTTTGAGACGTACATTTTAGGTCGTATCCACGTCGTTCCTCCCATGTCGTATAAAAGACGTCTTAAAGACGTACATTCCAGTACGTCAATTCGACTTATAGAACAATAATGTAAGTTATTTTCTGAAGAAAAAGAAAATGTCATCTCTTCACGTTTCTTATTTTCAATTGTTCAGTTTTTTCTTATTTTCAACAAAAGTGATGTTTTTGAATTTTTTCGTCCGACATTTTGGAGCCTTAGTGTTAGATTCTCGAATTTTTACAAAAAAAAATCATATTCTCCGACCCCAAAAGTCCCATAGAAATCAATTTTGAATAAAATCGGACTATAATCACAAAACTCGTCCGCCATTTTGAAGCCGACATCTTGGATTTTTCATTTTCGACAAAAGGAATTATAATCTCTGATCCCGAAATCCTTCAGATGCCAATTTTGAATCAGATCAGACCATAATCAGAAAACCATATGCCACATCGTCCGCCATATTAGATCCGCCATTCTGTTTTTTCCATTCAATAATAATATCACAACGAATTTGTCACCGGAATAATATTTACTTGCCAAATTTCAAATCAATCGGACGATTTAAAGTGAGTCAAATTTAACTTGCACGTTTTGATTACAAACAGACACAAGGACATGTTAAACTAAGAAAAAGCTTGTTATATGTGATATATAGAACAAACAAAGTAACAGAAGAAGTGAATATGGTATAATCATCGAAGTCAAGCAACAAAGAGCGCGGTTAGTACTTGAATGGGTGACCGCTTGTGTCTACCGTTTGATGAAGTCGTTTATTTCCCTTTTTTTTTGCTTGTCTGCACTTGTTGCTAACTTCAGTGCACAGGTGAAAATCAACTGAAACTATGTGATTTTTCCGTAATTTGAAAGATCAATTTGAGGTCATGGACCAAAAACACCTAAAAAAGACGTCTTAAAGACGTACATATTAGTGGAAAATGTACGTTTTAAAGACGTCTTAAAGACGTCTCTTGGGCGTAATATGTACGTCTTTAAGATGTACTTATGTCCCGACATGTGCGTCTTAAAGACGCCTTTAAGACGTACTTTAGCTGATTGGGTTGGCGTTGGCCAAAATTGACAATAATTGAAAACGAATATAGAACTCATTTAACTTGAATTTTTGGAATTTTTTGTCCTCGTTCTTCCAAAATTAAGATATGCGTGTATTATTTCAATATATTTATAGTTGGAAAAATCAGATGATTTGCCCCAAAATGTCACTATGCGTTCAACAAATATAATGGAATAATATCAAAATCATATGAATGGAAGATAACATCCAAAAAAGAAGAATCAAGGAATCCGCCTGCATTATTCTGAACGGAGACAATATAGCATTGTTTCCTGTTCAGTTGATATAGATAGAACATGGTTTTCACTACTGAAAACTGAACATGAGAATGGTACATTCAAACATATTTTCAAACGAATTGTCCTTGACAGGCTTCTGGATTTTTCTTTTGGGCTCCCTGATAGAAAAATTCGTTGAAGGCAGTGACATTTTGGGGCGAATCATCTGATTTTCCCACTACAAATATATTGAAATAATACTCATATTTTCATTTTATAGAAACGAGGAGAAAAAATCCCATAAAATCAAGTCAAATGAATGTACCACCTCCTCTATCAACGTACAGACAGTATTTAACGAATGAAGAACTGTCATGACGAAGGGAAGATTGAAAGGGGCCCCACCCCAAATTTTAGTGTGATCCCTATGTTTTTTATTAGTGCTATTCGATTCAGTATGCGTCGGGCTTTCTCATGATTTAAATATTCGTATTCATTCTGAAGTCAACCTGTATAATATAATAATTATATCTTACGTTTTTGAGAAATTGAATTTCAATGATAAAAATCGACCGCCAAGGATATTTCGAAATGTATTTTTAGTAATGGAAATACGGATTTCATTCCATCATAGGTTTCCACACTGTATATTTCCATCAATATATATTCTCTTTTCTTCATGTACTATAAAATTTTATAAATAAATGTTCAGTTTTGCTTTCGTTCTTATTTGGGAAAAAAATCATAGTAGAAAGTATTATTGTATGAGAATTTGACGGAAAAACAGAAGGATAAATAAATGGTGGGGTCGTAGTGATCCCAAGTATTTTTGAGCTTAGGGTTCCAAAAATCCTAGATTCTCCGCTGATTTCGACAAATGTGAAATGTCACTATATTTACAACAACTAAATACGGGATTAAACACATTCAAGCCACAGATTTTGTAAATGAAAACACATCTCAGTTTCAGCACTGCCGCGGAGGCCTATTAATTGCGTACGCTTTCAGAAATACGTCACTGATGAGTGATTGTTAGTTTTGTTTCTGGATTAATTATGAATATTTGAACCAAATTTTCTTCATTGCAGGAAGAATACCTCTAGAAATACAGTCTACAGGAATGTTTTGTAGACAACTCGAAAATTTTATTGATAAGGCGATAATGATCTCGAACCTTATCTCGCTCACTTTGATCGCTCATTGAGATATCTCGATGAATAATCGCCTCCATAGATACACGATCGTTTCATAATACAGGGTGGAAAAATATAGTGCGTCAGAGTCCGATTGCTCGAGTCCTGTGTATACCAATAGAAAAGCGAATGAGAGCGAAACATCTCCATTCAGATTCATAGTGAAGAAGGGAGAATGCTTGTATTAAGTACCTACTGAAACAAAAATTTTGAAGCAGTGAATTGTTGAGGTCTAATAATTGGAGAACAATATACAAATCATGGAAACCAGAAATCTATGTGAAATGCCATCAACCTGTTGCTACATAATCAGGCAATAGGAGCCAAAACAGTTGTTAAGTATTTACATGCTGAAAAAAAAGTCAAATCAGAAAAAATAAGAATTACAAGAGTTGAACCTATAAATACGAATGTGGACATCAGAAGGATGTCATAGAGAACTTTATATAAACCAATCTCCCTGCTACCATTCCTATCGAATTTTCTGAGAGAAACTTTCAATTATAGAATTCACGAATGTTTAGGAATATCTCTATACTCATCAGTATGGCTTTCAAAGGCTTACTCAAACAATCGAGCTCCGACTCACAATTGCCCCGCCCTGTATGAATTTGAGATATTAATTTTGGATGCATGATGAATTGACGTTCATCATACAGGACGTGAAAAGAAATTCTGGATTGAGAAAACCTAATCACGAATCTGCGATTGAGGTCTATAAAAATAACAAGTTTTTATCGTTCAAGTTTGAAACCCTTGATTGGGTGGAGGAAAAGGAAAGGAATATTCTCAGATATATTTATGAACACAAAAAAATGGATATATATATACAGGGTGTCCGCTAAAAGGAGGTCAATTCATTAACCATATATTCCTCGAACAAAAACAAAATGAGTTTCCAAATACCATTTTCAATTTTAGCCCTCCATATTCGATATACAGGGTGTCAAAGTTGGAAATAAAAAACTTTTTTTCTAATTACTCGTATTCAATAAGATATTGATCTCAAAATTGGTACATTACTTCAGCACAAAGAGTTACATCGTGTGAGGAAAAGAAAACAGAAAATAACTGTCAAATATTCAAAATACGGGGGGTCAAGTACACACTTCCCCCATTTTTTTTGTACATGCGCTGATGACTTCCTATCTATTTTTCTTCAAGTGTTCAATTATTCTTGAGTATTATTTGTTTCTTGTAAAATTTCGATCAAATTATTTGTTTTTAAGATAATTCGAAAAGTATTGGTTATTGTTTGATGTCTATGCGTCTTACGGTAATCTCATAATGTTCACATACTCCTATTTACTCCGTCGAAATTGGAAGAGATCGTAACTTTCTACGTACGGCAAGGTAAATATGGAAATACCGGGTGCTCAGAGCGAATGTATTGATATAATTTTTACGAAAAAACAATTATTGATAGAATTCCAACACGTCTAAATGAAGCTCGATATGAATTTCTTTAATAGACATGCGAGCCCTTTTAATTAAAAAAAATCTAAGCGTTTGAAAAATATGTGGCTTATGCACAAAATCTTCCATACATCCATAGACAATCCTGATCTGCTATTTCTTTCATCAAGAAGCAATTAAAATCATGAATATCATAATTTCACCAAAAGTTTCCGGAAATATTTTTTTTAAATTTTTTCCGATTTTATTTCCCGTTCGTTCGCGTTTGAC